CACGTCCACGACCGTGACCACGTCCACCACGGGGTGCCTGGGTATGGTATCCTCGACCTTTCCCTCGCACATTATGATGTCCGTGAGTAGTCGCATGTGCTTCAGGCACAGCTTGAGTTCCAACGGCCTAGCATTATGATTTTTCATCAATAATTGATCGTGTTTTTCGGCCACAAGCAAGGCCAAAATCAGCTCAGAATGCGTTGCATAGTTCTTAGCCCTGTACTGCTGCTGGAGTACAAGGTTGTTAGCATGAAAAGTGGATAAAGTCTTTTCAAGCAACTCAGTCTCGGTAATGTTCTGCTTACAGAGTTTAAGCTGTGAAACAATGCGGTGTAGAGCTGAATTATACTCAGTGACGGATTTGAAATCCTGAAAGCGAAGGTTAAGCCAGTCATATTGTGCTTGAGGGAGGATTATTGCTCTTTGTTGGTCAAAACGATCCTTCAGGGATTTCCAAAGATTGGCGGGCTCTTTTTCTGTAAGGTATTCATTTTTCAGATCTTTATTAAGATGGTGACGGAGGAAAATCAATGCCTTCGCCTTCTGGGCGGGAGTGCTTGGAGATGCCGGATCAATTGTGGCACTCAAATCAAATGAAGCCAGGTGAATGTCGACATCAAGGGCCCAAGTTAAGTAATTACTACCATCAAGGGCGAGCTCAGCAAATTCTCTTTTGGTGATATCAGACATATTTATAATCTAAAAGTTAGCCAAAAGAAAATGATATTAATCTATTAAAATGTGATCAGAATTGGTATAATATCATAACCAAATAAAACCATACCAAATATTATGTATGCACAATATTATTATTCTCATACATTAGCCATTTTCAATTTATGTTGTGACAGTCATCCAATAATAATGTCATAGAAATAAATAAACAAATCTGAACAATATAAGCCAATAACACATCAAAGCTATCGAGCTGGTTCAGTTTCTCATTCGAGAAAAAAAAAATCATATGTGGTACTCTATTTCCATTTGAAGTCATGTACAGAGAAGAAATTGTATTCAATAGTCAATACAATACAATATTTTAGCATCACTAAAATTCAGAGGTCATAGAGAAACGATGATTGGTGGGATCAATTAAATATCAAATAAACCATCCCCTTAAATTAAGTACAGGCTGAAGAATTGAGTAATAAAATGGCTATCACAATGAACAATTGTATCAGATCATGATGCCAAGCCGAAATTATTTAAAATTCAACCCCCTCTTATGGATTGGTTTTAATTGATTCTTCAAATAAATCAATTTCACAAACATATACCAACCACCTGATGAGAATTTCAAATAATTCATGACCAGGTTAAAAAAAAACAACCAATTAAATAACACGACTAACTGGAAATTTGATATCTTACGTCAAGCATCATGATCCACTAAATCATAATCAAACAAATTCAACGGATATTTCGCACTTCGCACAACATTGCGACAATATCAATCCAAAACCAAATTTCGCACAGTACATAAATCGAAGCCATATGAATTGATATTGAATAGCTCTTAAATGTTACCTTGACAGAAAAGACACGATTCTTTTCTAGGGCAACACCAACAAATTGTAAATTAGAGCGTGCTGATAACGTGTTGTAAATTGGGATCCTCAAGCATTCATCAATCCACACCAAACAAAGTAAAGCGAAACGAGTGAGAGAACAAGAGACAGAAGAGCAGAAAAGTATGTAATTTTATTCATCGTATATCACCCTTTTATAGGGTTTACAAGTGAGAAGCCCTAAAACTTAATTTCCCTAACTAATGGACTTCAGGCCCAATTATCGATTAGTAATGTCCATATACATATATTTATAACAAATATAACAATAACTTCTTAAAGAACCTCAATAATTGTTAATTGAATTGAACTTGAACCTATTCCACCAAGTTAGCCTATAAAAGACTTGTAGGGAACTGTATCGGGAAAATGAAAATAAGATGGCTATAATAAAAATACCGAGGCCTATGAGAACACAGTGTCCTTAAAACAGATTCGCCCCGTATGAGCGTCTGTTTCCCAGGATACAACGGAAGAACCGAAACTAATCCGGCGAACTGGAACTATGCCTGGACTAAAACAATAATGGGGAAAAAGCCTTTATGTGGGTTTTATTTCTTTTCTTGGTGTTATCTCACTCTCGTGAGTCCTTTCTTCCAAAGATGACAAGACCTTTATATAGCCTTAGGTAAGTCATACTCATTAACTCATGTATTTACTCCAACACTTAATATAGTTAAGTTAATGCAACATTAATCAAACCAAGTTACAAATTTTTAAAAAATGAAACACGGTTTTAAATTAATATGTCAGTTGCAACTTTCATTCACAATTTTCCAACAAGATTTATATATGCTTTGAGTTATATGGATAGTGTGACGTAGTAAATAGTTACCTCGTGTAAACTCCACAATTATGTACAATGTTTTGGACAAACTTAGTTTAGTTGTTGTACATTGAAACAGGATATATCATCAAACGGGGGTTGACGGGTTCTGATATGGTCTGAGATGAATGGTTCCGATTTTTCGAAAGGTCTTCTCCGATTTGAACGTGGATCTACCGGTTTGGTGCGGTCCAAGTCCTTGAGTTCGCCGGTACCTACAAATACGCCGGAATTGCTCCGGCGCAAGACCCTCCGACGCCCAAGTCAATATCTCGGAATAGGTTCGATTGTACCTAATGAATGTAACAGTAATTGTAATAAATGATGTCTTACCTTCCAACCATTGAACTTACCTTTTATATAGGATTTAGTTGCACGGTCCTCCTTTCGGGACTACAAATCCCTAAGTGCCCGTCGACCAAACGACTAGTGTGCCTTGACTCGAAGGTCGACTTTCGGCCCTTTCGGTCGATCTACCCCCGGTCGAGCCCTACTCTACTCACCGGTCGAGACTCTCTCGACCCTTCGACCTGGTCGACCCTCGACCGAATCTCCCTTGCATGTCGATGTTAGATCGACCCTCGGCCCGGTCTCCTTCTCTGGTCGATACTAGGGTCGGATGTCGACCACTCGGGCCGGTCGACCCTTATGTCCTTCGGCTCGGTTTGGTCTTGCGGCTATTATCCCTATCAGGTGCGGTCCCACGGACGAAGTGCACCAAATCAGGGAAGCCCAAAAGAAACTTAAGTGAGGTTCCATCCCAAAATCAATTGGTGGTAGGAGGAGTAGCCCACTAGGCTAATAAGTTAGGTCTATTTTCCCTGTATAGACGATGTGGGACAACTCACAAGTGTATATTCTAACATCCTCCTCACTTGTGAGTCCTTCGGAAGCCCAAACCTACATGGGCTGGGTGACGGGTACGTCATTGCATGGTCGCAAGAAGGCTCAAGCCCAATTGGGCTAGGTGAACTGGCTCTGATACCATGACAAACGGGGGTTGACGGGTGCGGTCCCACGGACGAAGCGCACCAAATCAGGGAAGCCCAAATGAAGCCTAAGTGAGGTTCCATCCCAAAATCAATTGGTGGTAGGAGGAGTAGCCCATTAGGCTTATAAGTTAGGTCTATTTTCCCTATATAGAAGATGTGGGAGAACTCACAAGTGTATATTCTAACAAGACCTAGATTTCCTTTAACTATTCCGAGCTTAGTACTACAACTTTTCACTAGGCTAAACTGTCTCAATTTAGAAAATCCATCTCGAAACAAGTATTTTCTTAAGGTTGCATTAATGGTAATAAATTGGATTGGAACATAGGAGATTTGGCCATACAATCTCACAAAACTGTGTGAACAAGACAACGTAAATGACACAAAATCAGCTCATACATGGACATTGATTTTTTTAAAAATGTATTATGATGACCCGTTTTAATGGCAATTGATTTCTTTTTTTATAAAAAAAAGGAGAAGACTACAGTTCCGTCACGGAATGACCTGTTTTAATGGCAATTGATTACATGTATATCTAAAGGCTAATAATCCTCACGGAATCATTTCGCGACGGGAATGTAGTATTTTCCAAAAAATTAATGAATACAAACTACTTGAAGATAGAGGAAAACAAAATTGAAAGAGTGTCCTTCCAATAATAGAAAGAATATGAAGTAATCACCCAATTAGCTATATTATGGGCAATGACGTTGTCCTTCTGTGAGGCAGAGTTGCAATCTAATGATACTTGTAAACACCTAAAAGAGAGGATGCAAATCCTCCTAGTTAGTAAAGCTGCTTATGACTTCCAAGGAGTTCCTCAGCACAACCTGAACTGTTAAGTGTGAGACCAGTGCAAAACGGAGACCGTGATGGAGCGCCAACGCTTTCGCTAATAAAAGAGAAAATAAGTCTTCGACGCAAGTAGCGAAGATTGCTTAACATACGCCGTCTTATCACGAAACCAGTCACCTAAATCGATTTTGGACTAGCAGACAACGACATCACACATAAGAGTCCAACCATTAGTATAAGAACCCTAGCCTTTCCAACTATAAAGCAAATCCTGATTTGGGAAAATTGCCATTCACCCGGTCGCCCTGATTGAGCACTATCAAACTCTTTTTTTAACTAAGATATCCCAAAATCCCAAACCCACACCGAACTTTTTGCCTTGAAGTTTTTATAGGCGATTACGCTTTATAATTTTAAAAATTATAATAGACACGGACAAAACTCTAAATTTACATGAAATATTCCAATGAACTTTGATTTAACATTACCTATACAACTTTTAAAATTACAAATATTTTATTCATTTAATATATTTAAATTTTAAATAAAAATCTTAGTTCTTACATTTTTTTAAGAATTAGGGTATTCATTTTTAAATAACACCTGTGTAACATAGGTGCTAAAAAAATTAGGGTATTCATTTTTAAATAACACCTGTGTAACATAGGTGCTGTACTATTGTGTGAATGAATATACATATATAGAGGATTTTTATTATTGATAAACTCATATAATATTCAAAAAATAAAATATATTAATAATTAAATCCATCGGAATTTCCAGCCCAAGCGTGGGAGCTGAAAAAAACCCTCCCTCCCACCCTCCTACAGAACGAAGGTCGCGGCATCGAATCCACCAATCTCATACCCAAAACATATTTTATTTTCCCCGCTTCAATTTATTAGTTATTTAATTTAAGCATCCCTCCATTTTTCTCAACCTGTCGTATACTATGCCTTCACCCTTCCACACCGCAGTGCTCGGCTCCTCCATCGGCTACCCTAACGCCGTCGCTTGGTCGGAGGAGAACCTGGTCGCGGTGGCCGGCGGCAACACCGTCACGATTCTGGTAAAATTTACCCATCGCTATTGCTACTCGAATTGAGTCCCGACAAATTTGTGCATACAGTATCTATGATTCATTAGTGTAGTTTTAGCTCAGGAATTTAGTTGATCGAGGTTCCTCACTGTTAACAATTCGCATTTGCTGGCCTTGTTTAGAATCCTGGCAATCCTGGAGCTCGAGGCGTGATTACCATCCCTGCCAGCAAGCCTTTCCCCCTCGGTGTGGTCGATGGCAAAGGTATGCTGGTTTAACCTCTCGACTCGAATCCAACAACGAGCTTTTTATTAGATGGTTTGGTTTTGTTTTGACAACAGGGGAAGATTTGCTGAATGAGTGTATGCTACCGTGTATTTTGGCGCGGGATAATCGTCCTTGTGTTAGGTCGATTTCTTGGTCCCCCATGGGCTTAGCCAACAATGCCGGGTACTAATGCTATCTAATTATGTTATATATTTGTCTAAGTATGGAACAATGTTTGCATCCGAAAAGCTGATTATCATATTTATTGAATGGTGCAGTTGTTTGCTTGCTGTTTGCACTACTGCGGGACGTGTGAAACTTTACCGCTTTCCTTTCTGTGAGTTTTCGGTGGAGTGGATTGAGGTACAGTAATATGTGAAAGTTTTTGGTGTATAATCATGATTGATAAATACACCATGTTTTATCAGCTCAAATGCACTGTAGTGGAAAATGCTTGTTTAAATTGATTGTGTTGGCATGATGAGAATTATAATTTAAGTTGGATGCACTAAGACTTTCTTTACGCTCAATTTATGTGCGCACATTACTCAATACTGAATTAGCTCCCAGAAGATTATCTTAATCATGTGTTGCTGTAAGTTTAATTTCACAAATTAAACAATACCTATTATTGGAATATGCTACTAGGAAATTTTTTTAGTAGTTGGTTTGTGTTCTTATAAAAAACATTGCGCTCTCAAGCTGGTACTGAAGCAATGCATCATTGGATCGCAGTCTCTCTTTTTCAGTACCATGGAAACACATCTCACATTATGAAAGTAGTTTCCGGAGTACATTTCTCATACGTACCATTAGTTTGTATGCTACTGTTTATAGGTTATGTCTGACTTCCAATCTTTGTTCACTTGGAACGCTACAGGTTTTGGACATATCGGAGTTGCTGTACAATCATTTCAAGAGTACCAATTTTGGGGATAATCAAATTGTATCCACAGAAATTTCAGATGTAAGTTCTTGCCATACAACTTGTTGCTGGTCAGATTTTTGTCATGTGCTATTCCAAACGTGTTATTGATGAAATAGCTGGATGGATTAATTGAACTTCTTTATAGCTGGATAGATTGCTGGTTATATTTCACCATTAACCATAGGATTGTTTTAACTTCTTTCTCTCAGGTGATAGCAAGAAGAGATGATGTAGATTATGGATGTGTGGATGAGCCTCCAGTCTCCAGTTTAAGAAGGAGCCCTAAAAGAAAGAAACAGAATGCAGCTAATGTAATTCACTATTTCATTGGCTTTCTGATTCACTATCTCTCTCGTATTCCCTTTTATTCTTATCTAACATTCTTTCTGAAACCTGGTTTATTTTCATCAGATAGCTGAAACAGATTCAGACAACATGAGAGAGACAAATACACTGCAACTTGTTCCTGTCTCATTCTATAAAAGTTTAGAGAAAGTGACTGATGACCGGAATTTGCCAATATTAACCAAGCAGCAGTATGCCTCTCGCAGTGAAATGCTGATGTCACTTGCTATTGCTTGGTCTCCAATTCTGGGAACATCTGGGAATGGTGTTGCTTCTCCTCAAAACTTTTCCGATTACTGCTCTGTTCTTGCTGTTGGAGGGAAGTGTGGAAGAATTTCATTCTGGAGAATACATGCACCCGATTGCTATGCAGTTGATAACCCTAAGTACTTGAGTAAAGTATTGCTTGTTGGCCTTCTTAGGGCACATGATACTTGGATCACAGCGATTAATTGGGCGATATGTGGTTGTAATGATGCGAAGCCCCAGTTACTATTGGCCACTGGAAGTTCTGATGGTAGGTGAGTACCTTTGCTTGTTAACCACTATCAATACATCACCTCTTGAGAAACCTGAAGCCATTATAATTTCCATGCATCCACATGAATAACTTCATTGATTTCATTTGGAAACGGAACTGTTAATTTTCCCCTGATATTTGAACTATGATTTAAAAAATTACGGTAAGATTGATCTGAAATTTTCTCCACAATGACCTGAGGATTTGGGCTCTTATTAGTATAAATTTGATTTATTATTTGATAATTACTTCATTCTTTGCCTTCATAGTGTGAAGATTTGGCTCGTGAATGGTGAGGAACTACTGAAATCATCAGAATTGATCCACAATTCCTTTACCCTATTTAAGGAGGTACAATGCCATCTCATTTTATAAATTAGTTATATCATTTTAGATATATATTATTAGCATTATTGTTAAGTCCTTATATTAGCATTACTCATTTCATAAGGCCACAACGGTTGATCATTCAACAATCTCCGTACTGTCGCTTACTATACCCTCTCAATCACCATGGAGACTGTTCTTAGCTGTTGGCAAAGGTTCTGGGTCATTTGAAGTGTGGATCATTGACATGCTTACCTGCAATTTCGATAGAGTTGGCTGTTATAATGCACATGATCGAATTGTAAGTACGTAATCATTGGTGGCACTTTGTATTTTGCATCTGGAGTGACCATTAATTTTCTCTTTTTGAAATAAACATCAGGTTACTGGTTTAGCCTGGGCTTTCAGTGGACGTTGTTTGTACAGCTGCGGCCAGGTATAAAGATTAATGTTGGATGTTAATATTCAAAATTCGTTCGATTCAGTAGGTACTAGATATCTAGCTGTGTATGGGTCGAGAGGAAGGGAATATTATCTTATCAATTGTTGAAAGAACATAGCAAATCATTTATCATTGTTTTTGACTGATTTCAGGAGAACTCCATGAAGAGCTGGATGTTAGTTGAAAACTCTCTGTGTGAAGTCCCTATTCCCTCATATTCTCCTGGTTTGAAGAGTTCCTGTGATGTATGATACAAATTATTCTGTCTTAGCTCTGTTATGTTCATCTCTTCAGCTAACTTCCCCTAGAAATTATCAACAGGTTCCTTATGCTTTCGACTCTTGCTTTGGTCTGACGGTATCCCCTGGAAATTTGGCGATTGCAGTGGTATTATAATTCATCCCCAAAACACTAATTTTTTTTTTTGAAATTCTATATAGGGTTACCCCAAGATAACAATTTGGTTTTAACTTTTTTGTGTACTAGGTGCTATGAATTGTAGAGATTCAATTTCCTTCATAGAACGATTATTAGTTTTTTTTTAAAAAAATAAAATAAAAAATAAAATGAATTACTTAACTATTACCTGGCATGAAATTAAGATGACAGGAGAACCAGAAAACAAGGTGCTATTGGATATCATTCATCTTGAACATGGGAAAGAGAAAAGTTTTGATTTTGATTTTTATTATTTTATTTTGAAAGAACAGAAAATTTTGAGAGTGTGAAATGGATGTGAATGAAAAGTTGAATTATTAAACTTGATTTAATATAATAATAGTAAATTATGAGCTCTAGTTAGTTTAGAGTTACGTGAGTAGGTGAATAGTCAGAGTTAGGAGAAATTGCAGCGGATTTGACATGTTATCATGTACTAGTACAGAGCGAGCCCGTGCGTTGCACGGGGTGCACAATTTTAAGGCTATTTATCCAGGCTTATAATTATATACATGAATAAAGAAAAATGTACGGGATATATATAGTACGTGACCCGAGATATATTTATTTGGAGAATATTATATTATAAGATGCAATATTCAATAAAAGTTTATAATACGCAAGAAAATTGTACAGTGTTCAATAAAAGTTTTATAATATTCAAGTGGAGTCTTAAAATCTCTTGTACATTAAGACTACTGACAAAATAATATTTTAGATTAATGAGTTTCCTTTCCTTGTAGCCAAATTGTGAATCTGATTTGACGAGTACAACAAATCGATATATAGCTGACTTGCTTTTTCATTGTAGTTTTTTTTTCTTTTTCTTTTTTTTTTTTTTTATAATGAATTTAAAGATATTCTAAAATATAGCAAAAACTAATTTTTTGTTTACAATTAGGAATTTTACTAAATATAAACTCTCAATCTATGGTGTTAATCAACGTTTAAGTCAAAAAAATTAGGAATTTTTACCTCTTTTAATCAACGTTTAAGTCTAAAAAACAATAGAGTTATTATAAATTTTTTTTCTACATCTTTTAAAACATTAAATATGAGCATGTTATGGCTAGCTTGTAAAATAATTAATATATTATCTTACTAAAACATTTATACTAATAAAAATTTAATTTTAGCATATAAATTTATCCCTTGATATAAGAAAAAAGTAATAGTTTTACTTATTGTTATTCACCATATAATATTTAATTATTATCTTATTATATAATAAAAAAAATATTGTTAAATAGTGTAGTAGAATTATTATAAAATTATATGATTTTTTTTTTACAATATGGATTTAATATTATTTTTATGATTTGATAATATAAGCAAATTTATACTTAACTTTGACAAATAAAACAAATAAATATTTTAGTAAGTATTTAATGTATATATACTAAATAGAAAATATTTGGTATAATCAAATACCAAATATAATCAAATAAGTCAAAGTGTACATTTTTATTTGGTATTTGATTTTTTTTATTATTAAAATCTTTTTGTTATACTTACCTTTGTAAAATAAAACAAATAAATAAATCAATTAAATAAATAAAATATTATAATACCAAAATAGTAATGGCATTTAATGCAGTTGACTTTTCTGGATAGTAAATATAGAAAATAGAATTTCCTTTTATATAAGTATAGATTGTATAATACGGAAATAGTAATGCAATAAATGTTGTTGACTTTTCTTTATACTAAATCTGGTAAATGGTATACCTTTTAATATAAGTATAGATGCATTCAAATTCCACATGATATTTATAATCAAATGCAGCTAGTTTGACATGTTATCATGTAGCCATTCAAGTTCTAGATTATATTTCGAATCAGGGCATCTAAGCCTTTTCATTTATTGTATCAACCTCTCACTCATGCAGAACAAAAAACTACACCTCCCTTATACCAATCCGGTCCTAAAATTTTTGCATTTCTTTCTTTGCAGGCTCGTGGATTTGACATTGATCTATTACATCCTATGTACCAGGGAAGGTGAGTTCACATTTCTTCTTCATAATTTTCTCTGAAAAATCTCTAAAACATGTGCATAAACGTATACCAAGATGCGTGTAACAGACGTGCGCATAGAATCAGAATCTTTTAACATGCTTTGAAATACACAATAATAGTGCCCCTATCTTATCTGCAGTCATGATTTCAAAGATAAATGTCTAGGAGATTAGTTGCAAAGACTGATTATTAAACTGTTACACTGCTCGATTTATTTTATGTACACTGGCTTTCAGTAACATGTATGCATCATTTTGAAACTTTCAGAAGTCACAGAGCTGCCATCGAATTATTTTGGATCGGAGGGCAGCAACTGGACCTTTCTTCTGGTCGAGATACAGAAAATAAACCATTTCCTGGAATCCCGGAAAAAGAACTGGTTTGGTGGGAAAGGAACTTATTATGGTCTTTGGATCAGTATGCAGATCTCAATAGGTTTCTGACCATTTGGGATATTATGACAGCTCTCTTGGCCTTCAAGCAGTCTTCACCTGGGTACACAGAGCGTATTCTACTGAAATGGCTGACATCTCACTTATGGTCGCAGTTTGGTGATACTGTTGCAGCTTTGCCTGAACTGATTAAGTGTCTTCCGAAGGTCTCTTCACGTCATTTGCACCTCATCAACATCATAAGTAGGCGTGTTGTTCTTAAAGGATATAAAGTCGACAATACGAGTGGCAAACAGCAAGAATTAGAAAATTCCGGTGTTACCAAGGATGGCCAGGTGAATATATGGATGGAGTTTCTTTCGAGAAGCGAAAGTGAACTCCTGGAGAGGCTTGTCAGTTTTTGTTTTTCCACCATGTTAAGTCGGCAATCTAATTCATCAGTGGAGTTTTACCGAGTTGGTTGCTGGAGTCCTGATGGATTGGCGCAGATGGAGCAATGGGTTTCAGAAAGTGGGAAGAATTTGAAGGATCATACTAAATTTCTAGCTGCCGAAGTTGGGAAAGTTGAGAAAAGGTAATTAATTCCTCATTTTTTACTCTGCATTTGATCTGCTAACAATAGCTGTTATAGTGTTGTGTACCTGACATTTCTCTGTCTTTGTCAATGCTCTTCAGTTCATCTTATTAAAATGACGCTGGCTGTGAAGCTAACCCTGGGTGTCCTGTCCTATATTTTTTTTTTATTCCCTGGTTTTGCCAGATAAACTTCTTGACTTAGCAAGTTGCACATGTTTGTGTTAGGTTCTATCAAATGTGGGGTCTGTAGTCTTGAACAATTAGATGGGATTAAGTGTGTGTGCTTTATTGACCTGGAAGTAATTTTTCTGGCTCCATATTAATCTTTATGAGATAACATTTTCTACAACAAAATGAACGTTACATGTTAATGTTGTGCAGTGTGTTCGGTGATCTTTTAGTATCGTTAGTTGACCAAAAAACTGACCATAATCAGAAACTTCTGATATAAGCCAATATTTTAGCTACAAAAAATGGCTATAATCACACTTTTAAGTCGAGATAAGTTGAGAGTTTCTTCTGTGACTTGATAAAATAAAGTTTTTGCTAGAAGTTATGTTTGTCTCACATCAATTAGTTATTGCTGTTATTGTGTATAACTGTGGGTGGAGCATCCTCTCCCTTTGAGCTGGGTTTTGGGGATGAGTTCTTTCCAAGTTCATTTATCAGTTTCATTTGTGTTTCTATTGGCAGGAGATTAAAAGACCTTTTCAGGTATGATATGGAAGAGCGGTGCAATTTCTGTTCAGCTGTTGTGCCATTTGAATCAAAAGACAATGCAGTTTGCTCAGGAGAAAGCTATGATAGTGGGACCTGTCAAAAACATAAGCTAAAAAGATGCGCCATATCCATGCAGATACTCCCTACTAAACCCTCCTGGTATTGTACATGTTGTCACAGACAGGCAGCAAAGTTGGCACCTAACGTTTTATTTGCAGTGCTCGAATATCCTTCAGATTTTGAATCTTTGTTTGAGTCTCCTTCTCAAAAGTACCACCCAACACCATGTTGTCCCTTTTGTGGTATACTTCTCCAAAGATTACAGGCGGAATTTTCCCTGTCAACATGTCTTGTGTGAAAACGGGTGTCTTCCAAGCTTAATTATCCTATGGCAGATGAATGTCCTGCTTTCATAAAGGTTGTTCAATTTGAAAAGGGAAGCACAAATACATACATCTGCTCCCCCGGTCAAATAATTTCAGACGGATAGGCAAGTTTTTGTGTCAAATTTTGATTTATTCTTAACAACATTTTTTTGAATCTATAATTGTAGCTGTTGAATATGAATATTTCGTAACTTAATTTGAATTTATAAAAATCAGATACAACATCATAACTGCTATGGTGGGACATGGAACCACTGATGGGTCAGCATAGACATTCGTGTCCCTGTAAATGATAGGCTGCTTCTTTTGGCTGCACCACATCTTTCAGGTAGCTTTGAATACTTATTCTATTGTTAGAGTAAATGAATAAGTGGTAATGGAGCTTAATCTGGCATTGTTCTTGAAAATCTCTGTATCTAGTTAGGTTTGCTACTGGATAACCTTTTTCTCCAACTTCTTCTGTATATTGAGGCTATATTCTGTGTGTTGAGGCTGACAGAAGTTGGTTCAATTAGGATTTTTTTTAAAGGTGGTTTGAGATATCATGCATTTTCTCGGAATCTCGGGTTTTCATTAGACGATCTGGTTGCTGTGTATCTGTGCTTCCTTTTTTGTACCTTTTGTGCATCGATAATGCTAAAAATATGATATGAAAAATGAATTTGGTTAATGTGTTTGCACAACTCTAGTGCAATTTCATTATTTGGGGTGTTATAAATTTTCAAGTCCTTGAATAAGCGTGCTTTGATTTCTTATCCGAAAAGCTGAACACATTATTGTTCGATTCTAAACTCAATAACCTTCTAATATGATGAATGTTACCTCTCGGTCGAAACAGATTCGACTTTTTGATCTATTTCCTCCACTTTGACTTCTTCCATTTCTCACAAAGAATCCTACATGGCCTTGGTTACTTGATCCCATTTAGTTAAATGCATAAATTTGACTGTGTCGTAATGCTTTCTCAAGAGGAGTCTATCTACTGCTGTTTATGTTCTTAATTACCTTAGTAAATGACTGATTTATTTTTATCCTAGATAAATGTGAACATTGTTAGTGATACAAACCATATAATAAAATTCGCGTGAAATATCAGTTTGTGTGGTGTCATTTTCTTTATTGTACTAGTCATGCTTATGTGGAAAAACTTTACTCTTTAATCTATGGCAATAGTTTGCAAAGTTTTGTATGAAAAGTAATGGATGGACTAGTTTTTATCCAACAAACATTTTGTAGATTTCAATGTTCTTTTCTAACTTGTCGTACTCGTAATATGATATTTTGATGGAAAGAGTTTACCTACAATTCACCATAGGAGATATATTGAATGCCAATTTGACTATTTAGTTTTATGTGCTTTTTTTTTTTTTTCATCAGAAATTTAGTTTTATCTGCTTGACTTAGAAAAGTACTTTATATGCTATCATTTTCAAGCTCTTCTACTACATTGCAGGTACCTATTAAAATGGCAGAATAGTATGACACAAGTTAAAAGTAAGTATTCTATATATATAACGAAACAAATGCCATAGTTTTATTTGTTTAGTACATTCATTACTTTGGCATGACTTCATTAGTTGGTTCAAGGTTAATGGTAAATTTTTTTCTCGATTTATATTATGAGAGAGATTGATTGATATAATTGTTTTTTTATTATTATAAGCTATGAAGATCTAGCTTACGTGATGTTTCATGCCGATGAAGATTTCTATAATCACCATCATGTTTTATAAAAACGATTACTTCATTTTATCCCATTTTACTTAGGATCTTACAAAGAGACCCAGAGAATTGCCTTATTACAGAAAGGTCCTTGTGATCTTTTTATTTTCCTCTTTCCACCTTCATAAGCCAAAAATATTTGGAAAATCTCCCTTACATCCATCGAGATCACCCCTTTAAATAATATATAAGTCATACTCATGGCTCCAATATTTACCCCTTTTGTTTTTTGTAAACTGAAACTTCCTCTAGGCTTTTCAGTAATTACCCCAAACCTTAAGGATTGTTCTGCAATCATGCATGATATTCATGCTGTTCTGTGAAACTCACCGAATTGAATGTTTAATATTCTATATTTAGCTCTTAGATTTGGGAGTTTGGTTGATATTGATCATGCTAATTTTTATGTTTACTACTTAATAAAATTTGTGTGAACACATACATAATTATTGCTTGTAAAAAACAGCCTTTTTCTAATAAAATGTTCCTGTTAGAACTGCCCTGTTATCATTCTTATGTACCAAACAAATTATTTTTAACCTCTTATTTCATAAACCATTTATTCAAACATAGAAGTCTCTCCATAAGAAAATACAAATGCATGAATCCTTCCGTTTTTGTCCCTTTCATGAGTCAACTCCTAACCTTATTTTCTCTTTTACACTTCATTTCATATGTTGATATTCTGTGGAAAGCATTATTGTTAGAATCATGGAGAAAATATCACAAATTGACCAACATATGTTATTATACTATCAATCTGCCCCATTTGATGAACTGTGCCCGCTGCTCGTACGGCTGAGATTAAAAGTTATGGGCTAGATTGGACCCACTTAAAGGTGATCTGGATTATTCCAATTCCCAATGGCTCACTAATTACAACGCTTTATTAGTTGATAGTTCCACTAATAAATTTAAAAGGGTGGGCATAATAATAAATAAAAAAATTTACTTTGCTTAGTCATATGGTTATAATGATTTGACATGTAGGCTATAATTATAAAGTTAGTGTACTTTTTTGCTGAACTAGTATATAGTATATAGCTCGTGCGATGCACGAGACATATATTAAATGAGTCATGTCTATAGACCTTGTCCGTTTATGCACACAAAAAATAGGGTTGGATAATTCATTTTTCATATTTTTTAATCAGTGATATTTATTTTAATCAAAACGTTAACATGTTAATGAATATATTATTTTGCTAACACGTTTATACTAATATAAATATAATTTAGAATATATATTTATTCACTCATATAAGAAAAAGTAAAAATTTTCTTATTCTTGTTCACCATAAAATACTTAATTATTATTTTATTATAAAATTTGTTGTCTTATAATGTCATTATTAATATTTAAAAAAGTTATTGAAGTATTTTTATTCTTCTTAATATGTAATGAAAAATATTTAATGTACATAAACATTACTCATTAATGCAATTAATTTAAATTTATGTAAATACACACATGTTTTTTAGAATTTAATTTTCTCTTAAAAGTTAAAAAAATTTGATTTAGCAATTGCCAAAAAATAAATCCCTTGTATAATCAAGAGATTTTTATAATTTTCATTTCAAGGCTTTATAGTTTATTTAACATACTATGTAATGGAAATATATTTTACAATACATTCGTTATGAAAGATCAAAATAAACAAAAATGATAAAAAAAATTATCATGGTTGACAATAATATACAAATAAATTATATGTTGAAATTTTAAAGAATAGTTAATATATTTTTATTATCTAGTTATTAGTAAAATTATTTAATGTATCTGATCATTATATCTTAAATGGTAAATTATTTTAATTTAATTTTTTTAATATAATTAAATAAAGGTTAAAAACTATTATCGGTAAACTTATCATTAAACGGAAAGTCAGTACATATAAGTCCTTTAAGCCACATTGAAATGAATGAATGGTGTTTTTTTTCATCACCATTGTATGATATGGATATCGTGTTGGCAAACAAAAGTAAACTTTTTTTTTTCTTTTTCTATTTTATTTGAGTATTTGAGAAGAAAAGAAATTGTGCTCACCCAACACATTGTTTGACAAGTGTCTCAAAATCTTAAATCAATGATTTGAGAGATAAGATTAGCACCACACTCACCAAATCATTAACAATCAATCACAAATTGAAAGACTTGTGAAATAAAGTTTAGGCGTGTTTTCTTTAATATTAAAATTAGATTATATTATTAAGTATTTCCTCTTATTTTTATTATTTGTTATCCTAGCTAAATTTATTATTTGTTAAATAAATGTTGTTTTGACTATTTTGTACATATTTTTTCATTATTATCTTCATCTAACTAATAAATACACTACGTCTTTTCATATTCACTCTTCATCTTTTCTCAAAACATCAATCTCTCTTCATTAATGAGGGTTATTATTGATAAAAAAAATATTCTTAATCATTGTGCAACTTATCAAAACTATATTTATTAAAATATAGGAGGGAGTATTTAACATATCCATTTAACCATTTTTGTTGAATTGATTTTCACGTGTTGCATTGTAACACTGATTATTAACATTGTACGGTTTTCAGAGCTATTGTCAAAACAAAATTACTGAAAATCAAAGCTTCTAAAATAAAATTTACAATTAAAAAAAAAAAAACACGTGCCTCTTTTTGTATTGATTTTGGCATTTAAAAAAAGAACGACGTCGTCCTTGTGTGATTATAGGCACGCGATTCCGTGATACCTACTACTTCTTCAAGCATTGAAGTGCGTACTGTTTTTATATGCGTTGTTGAAATCAATCCGTTTGTCTTGTATTGCGTGCCACATGCTTTGTGTTTTTAATATTTTTTTTACTTAAACGAAAATTTATGTATATTACTCCCTCTATTTTGAAATATAAGGCATTTAAGGTTATTGCACAAATATTAAGAAAACATTAATTAATGAATAAATTGACTAAATTAATCTTATTTACTCTAATCACAACCACTCCACACTTCTTTAATTTTAACACAATGAGGATATATCTAGAAAAAAATACAAAAATTTGTCTTGATTTTTGAGCGCGTCTTATATTTCAAAAAAAATAAGAAATCTTTATACGCCTTATATTTCAAAATGGAAGGAGTATTATTTAAATATGCTTTCCTTTTTTGAAATAACATAGCCAACGTTTAGTTATATTTTCTTCGTGTAAAACAAAAACACGATAGTCCATTTCGATGTTTCCTTGCACGCGGCGCCCCACGGTTTATACTTCGACGTAGATTATGCGTAGTTTTGTGTACATGAGTCAAATTTTGAACAAAAAATCTTCTGTTTGTGAATAAATGATTCATCTTTTAATTCAACAATTAAAAATATCTACGTCTCGTGTTAATTGCAGGTAAATAGATTATTTGAGTCTTTGTTTTCGATGTTTAACCACGAGGCTACCATTGGAGTTTCAAGGTCGTAGGTTACCATTGGAGTGATATTGATGGAATTCAATTTAAAAACATTTAACTCTGCGATGGTACAATTTTTGCATTTATTTATACTTTTCAAATAATTATGCAGATTAATTCTGTTTACAATTTTTGGAAAAAAGAAACTCAATTTTTTACCTTTAGCTGTAAAATTTTACTTGCAAAATGCCCTTACTAAAAATTGTTTTGGTGGAATTGTTTTGTTGTGAATGGAGGTGGAATTTATCTATTATTTCATCGTGCGTACATATTTGAATGTAGCCTGGTCGTTTATGGGTTAAACGTTAGCTTTGCTTTCAATAATCTTATTAAGAATGAATATATTGTTTATCAAAAAGTCACTTGCTTTATGTTAACTTTTGAAGTCTATTTTTGACAAAGCAGTTATTCCTGTTCTTTCTCATCATGATATAACAAAGTGTTTGAATTTTTCTTATGTACAATATTAATTCTTTAACATACGTGTGGGCATAATAATTATTGTCAATTTGCTTTAATGAAATCTAAACAATACTATTTGGAATGGCAACAATCGTTTTCGTACAGAAAAGATAATTGGATAAAAATAATTAGGAAAAACATTTGAGTCCATATTTGATTGCGAATTTTGAAATAAAATAACTACTGCCCAATTAAGTGAAATCTATTATCTTGTTAGGTATCAAAATAATCGATTACCAGACGATATTGAATACCAATTAATTAAGCATACACAAGGACCACCATCTCAAGTCTCAGTAAAATCAATGTGTTGCTATATGACAAAATATCTATTAGCTTTTTAACTGACGATTAAACAACTATATCTTTGTTTAATAAAAAAATATGTATTTCTATTATGAACTTTTATGCTTCTATTTGAATTTTAATTTAAATATGATTTGTGTTGTTAGGTACTAATGTATTTCGATAAATTTATATTATTTCGTACTAATGTAATATACTTTAAAAATAAACAATTTTATAACATAATTATTCATGTGATTTTTTAAAAAAGATTACCACAAACGCACCTATATCATCAATAGATCAGCACACTAGAGTTTGTGGATCTTCAATGATGTTATGATGATTCTATTATTAATTTTGTGCAAAATGAAATATAAAATAGCATAATTAAATAAAGATATAAAAGGTACCAAAAAAGGACTTAAATATACCGTATAACTTATTTGGTTCATACATTATTGCCACATACTTTCTCTCTCTCTCTATATATATTATTATGTATTATATTATAAAAGCAACATAAACATAATAATATTTAATAGTATAAGTATAATTTTTCTTTTTTTCCATAGAGCATGACACATTCATCCGCCATCTAGGTTTAAAAGACGTGATAAAATAAAAATGAAATAAACTCATGTGACAAAATAATTAATAGATATACATATTCGGAAGTCTAGAAACAGACAACCCTGATATAAAATAAAAAATAAAATAAAATAAAATAAAATAAAAAAACCATTTTCTCTGTTTTCTCTCTCCATAAGCCCTCGGAGTCTCTTTGTACGTATACATATCATCACTAGAGACATATCTTCTGGCAGACTCTCTAATTTATTCCGAGCAAGAAAAAAAAAAGGCGGAGAAAAAGGAAAAAAAAAATCCAATTCTTTTTCAATTTTTCTTCCTTGACATTATCTAAGCTCGCGATTTGCTCAAATGGATACAATTTAGAAAAGTAAAACTCCACCATCAGGTAAGACAACATATTTTCTCTCTCCGAATTTCTTTTATTTCGTAAAATTGGAAATTCCCAAGGTTTGATCCGTCGAGCTGAGGTATCAAATTCTAATTTTTCCAGTTTTTTTGGGTTGTTTTGTGGCAAACCTGTGTAGAAATTGGAAAAAAGGAAGAAGAAGAAAGAAGTGTAAGAAGGAGCTGAAAATCGAGTGTCTTGCGAAGGTTTTCCGATCATGGCCGTGGTCGAAAATGTCGGGGCAGACTCGGTGACGTCATCGAATACGAACGGTCAACCGAACGCCGCCGCCGCCGCGGATCATCACCAGCAGCAGCCGACAAAAGCCGCCCCCAACACCCAAAAGTCAACCAAGCCTGCCGATCAGAATATCCAGCTTGCGCAGGAGAAGGCCTCCAACGGCCACCACGACCCGATCAACGGCGACGGGGTGGCGCCGGAGAGGAAATCGAGCGGCGAGGAGGACGACAGAAGTGAAGGGTTTAAGAGGGAGATGAGGGATTTGGAGGAGATGCTCTCGAAACTAAACCCCATGGCCGAGGAGTTTGTGCCGCCGTCCCTTTCCTCATTCGCCGGCGGACAGCAAAGGTATCTGGTGGCGCCGCCGCATGTCGTGGCGGCAGCTGCGGCAGGGCATTTTGGGTTTGCCACGAACGGTTTTCTGATGCAGCAGCCTGTGAGCCCTGGAGCTCAAAACGGCAATTCCCTTAGAAAGGTTGGTATTTGCTGAATTTTTCAACCGAAAAATTCTTTTCTGTCCTTGGTTTCTGCTTAAAAATGTCACCCTTCCCTTTTTTTTCTTACTTTTATACTGTCCTTGTGATGATGTTTGTTGTAATGGTAATCAATAAAAATATTTGAGGTTAACTGCTTAGAAGAAGCAAATCCCTCATTTGGTTTTGGACCAACCTTGGCTCATAATTGGATTAAAATCAGTCACTATCCTTTTCTTTAATGGGGTTTTCAGAGGCTATTTAGCCAGGTTGATGATCTTGTAATGTTGGGTTGCAGAAGAAAAATGGTTATGCTCACGGAAAACGGAGGACTAATTCTCGAACGAGCCTTGCTCAGAGGGAAGACGTGATCAGGAGGACTGTCTATGTTTCTGACATTGATCATCAGGTACCGGGTTTTTGCTTCAAAAAATCTCATCCATTTAACTCCTATTTGTTTCTACAATTTTTAAACGCGAGGTTTTAATTTCTTAGGTTACTGAGGAGCAGCTTGCAGCACTCTTCATTAACTGTGGACAGGTAAAAATGTGTTTTACCCTTCCCCAAACAGTAAATCCCCTCATCGAAAAACTAAAAATAAAAAATTGTTTTTTTTGCACTTTCTGATGTTCAATGATGAAGGTCGTGGACTGCCGTGTTTGTGGTGATCCCAATTCCGTGCTTCGTTTTGCCTTCGTTGAATTCACTGATGAGGGTTTGTTACTTACTTAACTGATAATATTTTTGCCCTTTTAATATTTTCTTAATTGTGAATTTCAAGTACATTGCAATGTCTCCTACTCGATTTGCAGAAGGGGCAAGGAATGCTTTGAGCTTGAGTGGGACCATGCTTGGATACTATCCAGTGAAAGTGCTGCCTTCCAAAACCGCAATTGCGCCTGTTAACCCGACTTTCTTGCCAAGAGTGAGAAAATTTTGCTACGATTTACATGTATTTGGAATTAAAGCACTATTAGTTCAACTTCAAATGCTAATTTGTTTCTGTTGGGTGGGCACATAATAGTCTGAGGATGAAAGGGAGATGTGTGCAAGGACTATTTATTGCACTAACATTGACAAAAAGGTAATTTATAATGTTGCACAATATAATGAGTCGCTATGGACACAACAATATATATATGATATGTGCATGCATGATTATCTTCTTATTAAGTTGTTTTTTGTTTCTTTTGTGCATAGGTTACTCAAGCAGATGTTAAGCTCTTCTTCGAGTCTCTTTGTGGAGAGGTTTGTAGCTCTGCTTCTGTGAAATCTGTGAATATTGGTTGATCTCTTGAAATTTTCTGTTATATCACAATATGCATGTTGATTTAGGTTCATCGTTTGAGGTTGCTTGGCGATTATCATCACGCCACTCGTATAGCATTTGTGGAGTTTGTAATGGTAAGAATGTTGTGTTTTTGTCTTAGTTATATTGTTTGATTTGTTTCTAGCTGTCTCTGATCTGTTGCAGTTTTGAGTTTTTACCAAAGGACTGTTGATGGTCTGAGATCTATTAAATTCTTCCTTTAGACAAAAGCTAGTCAACAATTCTTTTATATGCTTGTGTAACCTATAGTAAATTTATCCCCTTACCTTTGCTGCATCTTTATTTTCCTATCCAATGCTTTTATGAGACAAGTCATATTTTGAGAAGTTTACTTTTCGTCTCTCGTGTTTCGCCATACTCGAGAGATAAACCGTCCTTAGGCTTAACCAAATGTTGAATCTAGCTGAACATTATTAGTTATAGTAACTTAATTAAGCCACCCAGTTAAAATCTTTTATCGCGTGCATCTATATAGGATATATGCAGTTATACCAAAGTGGATGACCATTTGTTCGTAACTTCATTCAGAGTGCCTTTATTTTCCTTCGCTGATAATGCCACGGGAGAAAAAAAAAAAATTAAATCATTTTTCACACTTATAAATGAACTTTTTCAACAGATGTGAACACCATGTGCTATAAAAATTAAAACATTATTTGGTGAAAAGAGAAATATTTATGAGATAGATTCCCCTTTACCATAGGGAAACACCTCTAGGAGAAATTGTGATTGTGTATACCTTTAACCTGTTCTTTAATATTTTTAATTGTTTTCTGGCCTCTGTTCTTTTGGATTATTCATGTGATGATTTTCTTCTTCAACAGGCTGATAGTGCAATAGCTGCTCTCAACTGCAGTGGTGCTGTCTTAGGATCACTGCCTATAAGGTCTCTCTCTCTCTCTCTCTCTCTCTCTCTCTCTCTGGCACACACACAGAGAGAGAATTGGCTGTTTTACATTTTTCCTTTTTTTTATATATATATATATATATATTTTTTTTTATTTTTTGGTTGTTCATTTGCAGGGTAAGCCCATCAAAGACTCCTGTAAGACCGCGTGCAGCCCGTCAATTCATGCGCTAAAGCTGCTCGATGAGTACCTCAATCTATCTATCCTTTTTCGTTATCTCTATCTCAATAACTAGCTTGTAGAGTTGTATAACCGTTTTCAAATTTCGGTCATAACTAGCTTTAAGTTAAAACTATTGTTGAAAGAGAGCTTATTAGCAGGCACAAACCTTTAACCAGTATTGCTCCTTTCATGTTTCTACTCGAAACTTGAGTAAAGAGGAAAGGTTCCGAAAACTGTTCGATTGATAACAGATTATTCTTCGCATTTCCCTTTTTTTTATTAATATTTTATATGTAGGAATTGGTCAGCAAATCTATATTTTCACCTTTGTCAGTGGGCTTTATTGTCTTTGAGTTATGATTTTTAACTTTTGTTATCATATGAACATAGTTTTATTAGTATACAGGTTTACTTATAAGAATGGTGTGGAAAATTGTTGATGAAAGAGGGGATTTCATGCTGGGATACAAAATGTTTACCCCATTCTTCATCTCGGTCTTAATCTTTAGTCGAAAATCAATATTCAAAGTATAATAAAAATTGATGCAGCAACAAGATTCTTCATATGTGTTCCTCATCAAACTTTTTCTTATGGGCCGATTGTAATTGGGCCTGGATTAGTTTTACTGCTTAAACAAAGATCTATCAACGCAGTATATATGGAATGCATATAGTTCTACCAAATGTCAAATTATAAAACATTAATTTCATAATGTAAGAATTCTTGTACATGTAACTTAAAATGTTCTTGTACACGATTCAAATGCCAACAAGTATCTTTCTGCAAATTAATTTACTCCCTCTTATATCTACATAATTAACTTGAATCTTGCAGTTATATCTACTACTTAGAACTATGGTAAATATATTTTAAAATGATTAAATGTGGACAAAAGTGTGTTTATCTTAAGAAACAACATGATATTCTGAGGTGAATTTTGTTATAGATTGTTATTATTTTATTTTAATTAATAGAGAAAACAATTGGTGTCAATTAATAGAGAGCATGGAGTATGGCTGTTTCCTGTGGGGTGGTAGCTTTCAAATCGGAAAACAAATCAAAAAAATCAGAAGTGGTCCATAATCGTATTATTACAATCCCACTTGACCTTTAAATTTAAAAATGGAGACAGACATTCATTGTTATTAGACCTCCATATGATGATAATAAAAATAAAATCTTTTTTATTATCTTAGTAGCATTTCCCTTGTGGGGCACTCGTAGATTACGAAGTGACTGTAGAATCCTTCTGAATATGTGTGCATAGAAGAGTGTCTTTTAGTTACTTGGCTTGAGGGTTGGATTATGAGACACTAAAATTAAAGGCAACCAATAATTTTTAATTAGATTAGATGTATGCTTTGTTTCACATGATGAAATTGGAGAAATGCTATGGAGTCAATGGTTGGTTCCTTTATGGAGCCAACCACCAATGTTATAGTGCCACGTAGAACATGTGAAGTTAATTATTTTTTCACATGACCTACGTGGCACTATAACATTGGTGGTTGACTCCATAGTATTTCTCGATAAAATTGTTATTACTATTTTATAAATGTAAATAGTTAGTTAATTTGTGTCATGAGTCATGCTATATAACTACTACATATAACATTATATTTTTTTTCATAATACAATATTTTTATTTTATGCATTAACATTAATTTGAAGTTATAATTAACATAACATTTTAAATAATAACGATTTTATATATTATAATAAATGTTTTTAGGACAATTACTACTGGAATTTTAGTGTTTAGATTATGTTTATGAGCTATAAGTTATAAATTTTGTATTGGTAAGTCGTTATTTTAACACCATATTATTACATTTAGAGACTTGTCATCATCACACTGCTCCAATTAAGCATAGGTTCGGTTTTAATAGTTTTCATTCTAAAACAAATAGATGAATTTTAAGAAAATTACCATGTTTATTTTATTACTATTGTCCTTTTTTGAAATAAAAAAATAAAAAAAACACACAAAGGTGATGTGAAGAAATATATAACTAGTCCAAGTGAAGTTAGAAATGAAAGAAAATTTATATTAGTTTATAACTTTATATAATATAACCATCTTTAAAATTTTGTTTATTTGTTTAATTAAGGTATAAATAGCACCAATTGAAGATTTTCCAATTGTTGGAAGGACAAATTGAACATTCTCTATGTTTTTGAAGGACAATTTGAACAGTGTTACTAGAACTTAACCAAATTAACTTCTATTAACTTTGTTGTATAAGTTTTGAAAATTGGTTCTAGAATTCTCTATTTAAACTTGCTGTATAAGTTTTGAACTTTTGTTTGTATTTATTTAATGTTTTGACAAATTATATCATTTCAATCCATGTATATATATCTTAACATCAATAATTTATCTATCTAACGCTTATAATTAAGTAGGACGGACCTTATATACCTCTTTACAACAAGATGTTAACATTTTCATCTAATTTTAAAATTTTATGAAAATTATTAATAAATTTATTTTAAATTTCTTTGAAATCATTGGATTTATACTTAAATATTGTACGATTTTCAAGAGACTTGCAATAATATGAATACATTCAATTTCTATTCTCAATGAAAGTAAAACTATTAAAAATTCTCTTTCTCGAACTACTACACCTGTAATCACCGAGCAAGTGGTTGACAACGACCAAAAAGATTATTATAAAATCTTTATTTTAATTTAATTATAATAATATTATTTCATTATATATTATAATATAAGATTTGTGGAGAACAATTATTAATTTTTTAATATTTTTTATGTTACTTTTACTTTTATCTACTTTATTTTATTTATTATTCATGCAACACAGTCATGCTCTTATTATATTTTATTTTTGTTATATATATCTTATCTGATTTGTGAGTAATAAGTTTGATATTGTTATTATACTTTATTTTTTTGTTATTTAATTTGTGAGTAATAAGTTTTCAAGAAAAAAAAAGTTGATTTTCCATTGAAGGAAAGGTGTGCTGGGAGAAAAGAAGCTAGAGCATAAGTCAGCACAAAAAAAAAAACTAAAAACAAACTATTATCAATATCACCAACATCAATACCAATTGGAAACAGCATCAGCTCGATGAAGAACCTCCGTGGGGCCGGCTCGCCTCCCCAAATCTCGACGGAAATAAATCTGGGCCGCTCGTTTGACGGCGGCGGTGTGGTTGGGTGGTGCAAGGGCCCCACCGGCAGTAATAGCGGCGGAGCTAACGAGGCGGTGGCGGTGGACCCCACACTCCACGACCAATACCGCCTCTTATTATCGTCGCCACCATTATCGACCTTTGGAGCTCATCAAAATCATCCTGCAAATAACTTCCGTCCTCTTGCCATTTTCGATCCTCACTCGACCGACTCTTACAAATCCTCAGGTAGTCCTTTTTCTTATTTTTAATTTCAAAATTTAATAACCTAAATGAGTTAAATTAACATTTTAATTTAATATTTCGATTATTGCTTTGTTTCTGAGTGTAGTGGGAAAAGGAAACAACTCAACTTTTTTATAGTGATTTTTCTTAAAATTCTTCCTTATTAAATTTAGAGTTTGTGGCCAAGTTTTAAGGTGACATGGTACCTTACTTCACAAACGCTCAATGGAAAGAGCTCGAACGACAAGCTATGATCTACAAATACATGATTTCCTCTGTGCCTGTGCCTCCTCATCTCCTTTACCCATGTATGTAACCCTTAAATTTCTCTACCTCTTTCAATTCCATTTACCCCCCAAATTTTTTATCCTTAATTTTCCCCCAAAATTTTGTTCACGTTTCGATTTTAGCTATGTATGCGAAAAACGGAGCTTCCCTTGAGCTTAGTCGGTGCAAAAGAACAGACGGCAAAAAATGGCGGTGCTCAAGGGACGTGGCACCCCACCAGAAGTACTGTGAGCGTCACCTACACAGAGGACGCCCCCGTTCAAGAAAGCCTGTGGAAATCGACGGTACTAACGCCGTCAATAACGGAGAGGGCTTCAAGAAGCCGAGAATCGAGACAAACCCGCGAGCCCTTTTGCCGTTTGATGATAAACTCGACCCGATTGGTATCTCAACTCTTCCTTATGATAGGAGAACTAATGGGTTGGTGTTAATTTTCGGTTAATTTTGTTCTGTGCTCGTTTTTTTGAAAATGTTTAGTTGTTTATGATTTGTTTTGTTGGATTAAAGGGATCTCGGGTTGATGATCATGGAAAACGATGTGTTTTCGAACAAGGGTTCGTCGGTTTATATCCCCGAAGCCCTTTACAATCAAGATTACTCTCACCCATTGCAACAAGAAGAAGTAAATCGAGTGGATCATCAGATTTTGCCGTATTCGGATTTTCCTCTCGAAAACTTAGCCGGTTCTTGGCCGATTGATAATCTCAACATCAACACAAACAATTTGAACAGGTATTCATCCCTACCAGCTGACCATGAAGATCTTTCGCCTTGGCTCGATTTGTCAATGGGAACGTCTGTTGGTGGGCCCACCTTAGATCAAGAAATTGGAAATGGTGGGATGAGAAATGGTGTTGAATGGTCTGGCCCAGTTTGTTATTCCCAGCCGTTTGGGCCTGGCGGCCCGCTTGCGGAGGCCTTGGGACAGAACCCGACTTCGCCTCACGATTCTGTTAATGGGCCCGGGACAGCTGTGTCTTCTCCTTCTGGGGTTATTCAGAGGACTTTGTTTCCACATTCTGATGGTAGCGTTTGCAATAGCCCGTCCGAACTTGGGTTGCTGAGGATAAAGTAGAATGAATTTTTGAAAGAAAAAAAGAAAAAGGAAAAAAAGATCTGTTCTTGAACTTGGGTTCTTGATTTATGAATGTTTTGGTTTTTACTGCATTTTGGTTTTCTTATGGTTGTTGATGAGCTTTTCTTATCCCCTAAAGTTTGAAGTGTTTGGAGTGAATTTGGATTGTTATCTGAGTTTGATATGCCTTGAATGAAATGGTGGTTTGATCCAAATGTGATGTGATCTTCTTCTCTTCTCATAGTGAACCCACTAAATCAGGGTGGATTTCACCTGCAGTGACTACAATACAGTAATCGTATTTTGTTGATCCAACACTTAAAAACTTGATGACTGTACATGGAATCTAATCAAATTAAAATCAACCAATTGATTTGAAACTTGAATTGTACGTATGCATTCATTTTTGTTTGTGTAGGGGGAAAGCTAAGAGTTGGTTGTGTTTGGAAGAAGACATTCTATGCTACCCAACTTGGGAAAAAAAGTAAAAGAAAAAGAAAAATCTTGTAAATATTGATGTAACTTTAAATTTGTCGGGAACTATCTTGTTTGGTCTTTGGTGGGGGATATTGCCCTCCTTTCAAACATTTGTTTTTATGATTTAGGAGCTTAGATCTAGTGTAGAATTTAATATATNCTAACCGTGAACTCGGCTTGATTTGGATCCTTTAATTAGCCGTTAAGTATTATTAAGGCTCGAGAACAAAATATTTTATGTAGGTTTTCGAGTCTTTATCTTAGCTACGGTCGTTAAGACTCGATTTGAGCTCGTATTGTTAATAAACGAGTCGAGCACTACAAAAATGTGATGAAATTCCAATAGAAAATTCCAATAGCAATTTCAATGGATATTTCATGTTATTATTTTTGTTAAATTATTTCAATGGATTTCAACGGAAATTCTAACAAAAATATTCCGTTTGAATGAATTTTCTATTGGAATTTCCGTTGAATTAATAAAAATTCTAACGGAAATTGTATATTCCAACAGAAATTCTTACGGTAAAAAGCCCCGTTGGAATGATCAAATTTCATCTAAATTCTATGAAAAACTCATTTTAACGAAATAATTCTGTTGGAATCATTGAAGCTATATCATTGGAATATCCGTTGAAATTTCTATTGGAATATATTACCGTAAGATTTTCCGTTGGAATATGACATTTTTTTTTGGAGTGGAGATCGAGCTTATTTATCATCTCGAACAAGATTCCAGCATGAGTTCAAACTAGTGTGTATCCCGTGCGCTGCATGGAGGGGTTTTTACTTAAAACCTTTTCTAAGACTTTATATTAAACATAGTTATTTATGTTTAACATCTTATTATTATAAAAAAAGAAATACCAAATATGAAAAATTATATATTATTTATTTGAATATAATGAGTGTTCCCAACCAAACTAATAACATCCAACATATGATATATGATAAAATTAATTATATGATCGTCATACTTTTTGAAAAAATATACATATATTTCTAATAAACATGTAAGATCCGCATTTAAATTTGTATTTGGATATGGGATGAAAAATGAATATGTACAAATAAAAAAGTACCAGAACCTACATAAAATTAGATTCTTTATAAACTTTAAAATATTTTGTAGTTAAGCAAATATTAACAAACAAAATAATCAATTAAGTTGAACTTATCGAATATAAAATATAATATATGATATCATTGACCATATTTACCCGTTGTATTTAAAGTTATCATTGACCATATTTTTATGAATTAAGGTTTACAAAATATTTTTTTCAAAATAACAATTTTTTTTTTAATTTGAATTTGACTTTTTCATCCAACCGCCATTTTCCACAAAAATAAAAATAGTATTTTGGAAAATTTTAGGCGTGAAAATCAAATAAAATTAATTTAATAGTAATCGATTAATTTAATATTATTCAAAGTTTTTTAATTCGGTCAACCCGATCTTAGTGCACGTTTAATTGAAACAATCGCTTACAAAAAAAAAGGTAATCGCTTACAAAAAAAGGAAGTGAAATCTATCTATATAATATAAATCGGATTTGAAAAAATAAAGGAAATGAAATTTCATAATTAATTAATTTAAATTGATGTTATCCGACTTATATCAACTCCCTTCCAAAAAAAAAAAGAAAATATCCGATTCCTAACAAATCGATTCAAATAAAAAAAGGATTATGATATACGTCCAAATAAATTACAATTGAAATGTAGGCGGGATTATGAAAAAAAAAATAAAAAAACTTTACCGAATAAAGTAATAAAACGAAAAAAAAAGCGGGAATATGAAGCGGGAAAATAAGATAATTTTTTTTGAGTTTTTTGAACAATTTTTCTTAGTCGTAATAATAGTAATAGATTTCCAAAATGTTACCACACATTTTTTTCTATTTTTCTTGTTTTTATTAAATTTTATTTACATAAGATATACATTGGTTAATTTTAAATTGAATCTAAAAGTCAACTCCTCACACTTTTCGAAAAATGTTACCACACAAATTTTTTTTTCTTATTATGTTTTATTTACATAAGATATACATTAGTGGTTAATTTCAAATTAAATCTAAAATTCAACTCCTCACATTCTTGAATTTGAATTTTTAAATAAGGAAATGTGTTTCCATATTTTTTGGTAGTTAGAATATGTTGGATTCATTTATCTATAACTAATCATACACGTATTCAAAATTTGAACCCAAACAAAATTCTTTGAATTTTTTGCTAACAAAATCACCTTCCCATAATTTATTTATTTCGAAAAATGTTACCACACAATCTTTTTAATTTTGTTTTTCTATTAAATTTTATTTACATAAAATATACATTTGTTAATATTAAATTGAATTTAAAATTCAACTCATCACAAATTTGTATATATATATATATATATATATATATATATAGAGAGAGAGAGAGGGGGGATTCTCTTTTTTCTACATATTTAAAAAAAATCTAATCAAATTTTAAATCCCGAATTAAAATCGAATTGTAATGTGAACTGAAAAGATTTGAAATCTAATCATGTTGTAGATAAGGGAAATCCATGGCAAAAAAAGGGGATGAAAAAAATTCAAATTAAATTTAAGGGGGAAAAACAGTTTTTTAAGCGGGAATTTGAAATATTTTTTCAAACATTTTTTCTTCTCCGTATTATATAGTAATAGATATCAAAAGTTTGAGTTCTGCTAGACTCATCTACACGCCTAATTGAGGAGTTGAATTTCAAGATTATCATATAATTTGTTGAAAAATTAAAAATGTAATAGGAGGTAGGATATAGTGATGATATCAAGAGGGGGAAAAAATCAACAACTCATTGAAAATACTCAGAGCATGCTTGGATATAAAATCAACTCAAAAAATTCAATCATTTTTAACTCAATCACTTTTTTTAACTCAACTTTAACTCAATCCCACTATCACTAATTTTATCAATATAATTAAATAATATCAATCAATCATTCTTACACACAACATCAACCTTAATTCACTATTAATCAATTCACATAATTTTGACTAACCATCACATCACATCTTCTTTCTCCTACTTTTACGTTAAATTAATTTTAATTATTTTATTTTAAATATTATTTTAATATATACACTAACAACTAATCATACCAACTTTTTTCAAATTTAACCAACTCAAACAAAAAAATCCAATCAAAACCAAAAAATTTTATATCCAAGCATGCTCTGCACAGTACCAACTACACAATCTCATAATGATAAAAAAAATAATACTACCTCTTATTCTTTTTAAATGTCATTTTGGCTCTGTTAACTTTTATTCAAATAAATGTCGTTTTGGATCTTTTGTACATATTTTTTCATTATTACCCTTATTTAACTATTCCCAAAACATCATTCTCTATCTTCACTAAAGATGGTTATTATTGACAAAAAAATATCCTTAATTAATGTGCAACTTCTTAAAACGACACTTATTATGAATAGTAGGGAGTACTAAATAAGTGTTTGGAGTTCTTGTAATCGCACCAAACTTCAGGGCCAATTTTGGAGTTCATCAACTCTTCATGGATATACAGAGAGGAACATAAACTACATGAAGTGACAAATGAGATTGAGAGCATAAATGAAAAACAATCAAAGGCAAGCATAAAAGTTCATCTAAATTTTGCAATTTTTTTTTTTTTTATTATTATCTTACCGTGTTGCCAAAGTTTAGATTCACACACTATACTTGTTTATGCCTTTTCTTAATGCTAATCCACTAAGAAATTCAAAAAACACGTTTTCTTATTCTATCAATATGTCAAATAACACTGCACAATCGATCTCTACTTGTTCTTAAACTGAACCGAAGTCCCGAACCAAAAGACAACTTCTTGCCGAGCCCGTTTTATTGGTGTTTTCTTATTTGTCTGATTTTTAAGGGTGTGATTGTTTATGGATTCAACTAGTTTTTATTTGGTTTGTTTTTAACAATAGTTAATTTTAAAAAAATGAGATATGGTTAGTTGTTAGTTGATATATTAAAATAATATTTAAATAAAATAATAAAATTGATTTGATATAAAGTAGGAAAAAAATGATTGGAAGTGATGGTTAATTAAAATTATGTGAGTGGATGAATAGTAAATTAAAGTTGATGTGATGTGTAAGAATGATTAGTTGATATTATTTTATTATATTGATAATATTAGAAATAGTGGAGTTGAGTTAAATTTAAATTTTAATTGATTTTTTTACTGGTAAAACTATATCCAATCGCCCCCAAATTATCCGTATCAAGTGTGAAGTGTCCATGTTGCGACGAAAAGTAATATCAAGATATATAGACAATGCTGAAAAAGCACAATTATTTTTCGGAATGACAATTGACAAATATCACATGGAGGTTTGTAGACTCCAATTTCTCTATGGTTTAATCAAGAAACAGTTCTTGAGGTTTGACCAAACTACAAAAGGACCCCATTACTTTTCTAAAATTACAAATAACATCTCGCAATTTGTTTATCCTACAAAAGCTTCATTACAGTGTTTTTGCTGGCATGAATTTGCACTAGGTTGCACGATCTGCATTGAATAATTTTCTTATTAATAAATGATAAATAAGAATGAAAAGATCATATGGCTCATATTAAGACAGGTATATCATTTCCCAAAAAAATCAATAAAATAAGTGTAAATAAAATTTGGTATATGAATATATTAAAAATTATTAAATGTGGTATATGAATATATTAAAATTTATTCACCGTGGAAAAGTGAGGAATTTGAACAATTATCGCCAACCAAATTAGATATAAGCTATAATTTTTGCGTTTTACTAAGTAAACCATTAAGTTATACGCAATTATCATTTGCAATTATATACTCGTTTATGCATCCAAGCATATTAGAAAAATGAACAAAATTAGAGAACATTTCACACTTTAACAATCCAAGAATGAGAGAAAAGAAACAAAAACCTAATTTCGGAGCTCTCGAGAAACCTAATTCCCAAAAACCCCGTCGGCGTCTTCCTCCTCTTTCGATCGCGATTGGCCTTCCCCGGCTATGGCGGGGCTCCGGCCAGTAGTCATCCCTAACCGATTGGCCCTCCCTGTCGTCACCTGCCTTTGATTTTGCTCTACATGGCCGAATCGGAGAATTTCGTCACAAGCCGTCCTCCGCTTCTAGCGGGGCTTGTAGGCTCGGGTCGTCGATCTGGTTTCGTCACACGCCGTCGTTCCTGGTCCAGTGGGTGCTGTGGTGAGGTCGTCGATGTGGTTTTGTCGGCGTCGGTGGGTGGGGCGTCGGTGGAGACTGAGGTCGGGGTGCGTGTCGGTGGAGACAGAGGTCGGGGATTGTGGGCTCGGCGGAGTGGGATGTCGAGGCTCTGGTTTCTGTGTCTGTGGTGGTGCTGGGTCGGGGTGCGTGTCGGTGGGTGGGGCGTCGCTCGGATGGGTTCGATGTTTTGTGTCGGGGCTGTCGGAGCGTTGAGGGACTATGTCCGCCGTCTTCTCTTCCTGGGTCTTCTGGTGCTGGAGACTGAGGGGAGCTGGGGCTACCGAGTTCGGCTAGTGGTGTTAGAAGAGCTCGGGACGCCACGGATTTGGGAGCCGGCTATGGTTTCTCCGGTTGGGGATGGGCCAATTTCGGGTTGGATTCGGGGTTCGGGTGCGGCTTCTGTATAGGCGGTTCGGCAGTTTCGGAAGCAGTCTTGGACTTGGGATCTTGCTGGGAGTTGACCGCTCTCTGTTGGTTCGGGAGTGTTCCTTATGCTGGGGAAGGGCTATGTACATTATTTAGGTTTTTGTTTATGTCTGTATTAGGTTGATTGTGTTTGTTTTGTTTGTGTGTTGTGTTTTAGGTTTGGGCCGTTGGCCTCGGTGCTTCCGGGTGTCAACTTTATTACCCTGTGGGGGTCCGACACTCGGATATTACCCTGTGGGGGTCGTGTGTTGTTATTTTGTTGTTTGAGTTGTTGTATTACCCCTTGGGGGTCGTTTCTAGTTGTTTTAGTTTGAGTTTCTGTTCTAGCACTTGCTAGCTGGGTTTCTAGGCGGTCTCATGACCTGTCCTCCCACTTTTCAGCCTTGGGCTGCTTGTATTCGCACATTTGTGCACTTTTGTTATATAATATCCTCTATCGTTTCGTGTCCAATCAGGTGCCTGTAGGGTATAAGTCAGCAATCCTCATGATTGCTCCTAAAATTTCCCCTTAAAGTCAAATATTTGACTAAGAAAAGAACAAATTTCACGAGAACTCCCAACTTTTATGGGGAGAAAAAAAAGAAAAGAAAAAGAAAAACCAACAAGATTCCAAGTTGTTTACAGCACATTCCAACGTTAGGGAAGATTAATTCATATTTGTGTGGATGAATTGTCAAACCATATGCACATACACACACTCCTACGATGTAAATTTGAACATTAAAATCACAAGTGGATACATGATTTTGAGACGTCAATTACACGCCCGTTGTTTACGGTCGGGTTCGAGTGCAGGTATAATAGAAAACTCATTTTCAGACTTGATTACTTTATCCGTTTACCTGCAATCATTGAATCTTGTGTTATAATATATATATATATATATATGACTTATTATAAATATAAAAGTAACCATGTGTTATTAATATTAAAAATTTAGTTATTTATTATAAATTTGATTAATGGTTAAATTTTATTATATATATGAAGTTTTAACAATTTTTGTTAATTGTACAATAAAAAATTTAAATACTTAATTTTAAAATATTATTTTATTAACTAGATTAGAAAAGATAAATAATTATATCTCATTATTTATTCAAAAAGTAGTATAATTTTTTTACAGTTTTTATTGTCAATAAATTATTTGTTACATTATAATTATTTATTTATCAAATCACATGCTCATATTGTAAGCCTGAACCACGTGAATACATACACTCATATGGGTGTGCATTTTTAATCGTCAAATTACACGGCCATACACTCATATGGGTGTATGAATGTGTGTTATGCATACGAGTGAGTAATCAATCAAATCACATGATACAAAACAATCTCACGTCGTCAAATCACATGATCATACGCAATGACACGGCCATACACACGTACGTACAAATGCGTACAAATGCGTTTTATGCGTATGAGTGAATCGTTAAATCACATGATCTCACACACACATGAATGTGTATTATGTTTGCCAAATCACGTGATCACACACACTCGCACGAATGTGGTATGTGTATGAGTGTGTTTTTTACTTTTTTACTGGGCGAGTGTGTTTTGATTTAACAACTTAGGCCGACGTGTAGATTGTAGTTGACACTAGGAGATATGAACTTGGGCTTTTACTTTACCTAACATATTATGTTAGACATCAATGCATTTGTTATCATCAATTATTAATACAACATGAGAAAATAATATAATTCTTCAACGCTGAAACAAACCATTCAAACCATCCAGGGGGAAAATTTGCTAAACAATTAATGTGAAATCTCTACAAAAACAATTCTAATTCTAAGGAAACGAAAGCAATCAAACGTTACTCCTCTTACGAGAAACTTTATCTAAAAGCCAAAGCCAAAGAAGTCGCACCAAAACCATAATTAAAAACAAAAAAACACCTAAAAAAATGTCAACAGGAGACTAAATTCAACCAATCAAACAGCTTGTGAAAACGACCTAAACATCCACGCAATCTACGCCTTGAAGCACAGAAAGTGGTGGTGGTGTCCGCCGCCGCCGCCGTGGCCGTGGTGGTGGTGCGACGCCGTCTCTCTGTCGATCAACCCCCTGATGCGGCAGAACTCCTCCACGTGGCAGGGGATGTTGATCGGCCCCTCCTGATCGAACCCGTACTCCTCCTCCGCCTCCCTGAGCAGCCGCGTGAACAGCGGGTGGTTCACGTACGCCACCGGGATCACGAACCGCCGCCGCGGCTCCTCCCCCTGCCCCACCGTCACCGCCAGGCAACCCTTTGGCACTCCCCTTCCCTCCCTCCTCCCCCCGCCGCTTCCTTCTCCTCCTCCTCCGCCGCTCTCCGCCTTTCCGATCGGCCAATTCATCGATATTTACAGAAATCGACCAACAAACCCTTGGAAAAAAATCACGAAAAATTCAAAAAAGAAGAAAAAACGAAAATCGAGCGAGATTTTACGAAAATCGATGCTAGAAGACGAACAGGGAAAAGGGCCAGGGATCGGAGGCCGAGATGGCGAGGGCGAAGAGGGCTAAAGCGGAGTCGGTTAAGGATTTGGGGATATTGCTCATGATAAAATGCGAAAAACGTAACGCATATGAATTGAAGAATTCTTTTCCGATTTGGTGAAGGGATTTTAGAATTTAGATAATGGGAGTATTCGGGGTTTATTTATACAGAAAAGATTTGGAGAACGGGTTTTGCGTGTTTAGGGTTTGGGTTGTTTTGTTTCTGGATTTTGCTGTGATTGGTTAGGATTTTCTTGATTTATACGCTAAATTGTGTTTTTATACTTTTTCTCACGGGGCGGTGGATGGGCAAAGATTCATGCAATTGCAGTCAATTTTTCACCGTATATTTATTTATATAATGAAATTTACTTTTTAACTCATTTTGAGTAATTTACTTTTAACTCATTTTTTAGTGTTATTAATATACATCAGCGTAAAGTAGTGATGTGTGTATATTTATCAACAGTGAAAAGCTGATTGCATTGCTTACACGGGAAATTTATATATAAAAAATAAAAAAAAAATATAAGTGGACAAAAACAAAGCCAAAAAAAAAAGTTGTAGACCAAAATCAAAAGCCCGTATTTTTGAAATACGTTTTTTATGTATTTTTATTGAAAAACTTATTTTCAAAATACGTTTTTCAATTATGAAAAGCTGATTGCATTGCTTACACTGATAGGAACAAATAATATTATTTATATTAATTTGTTGGTTTAACTATTAAAATAAATGTGTGTTGATTTAACAGTAAAAAATTTTTCATAGTGCAGTGGGTAAAATCGCACACCATTTTATTAAAAATATTTGCTCTAAGAAAATCAGAGTGCATTCATCTGTAGTAAAATTCCCGGTTGAATTGGGTTCCTTTTAATTAATAAACAAATAAGATTCGTTATTCTTGATATTATTTTTTCCACTTTTTATTAATATATAAAATTGTAAATTGTAATTATGGCTTTTCCATCATGAGATTTGAATTGCTCCATAGTGCGCCTCATGATTTAAGCCACCATTATCGGAGTCTATTCAATTTTCTGGATTTTGCTTTCAATTGAAAGTCGTATTCGATTACAATACAAGATTTTTTATAAGATGAGATTGAAACTGAATATATAAAAACTAGTACGTATCCCGTGCGATGTACGGGATAGACATATTAAATGATTATTTTTACCGTCTTTGTCCGTTTAAGTATATAGAGCAATAGGCTTATCATATATTTTTCACCTCTTTTAATCAGAGTTAAGTTTTAATAAACAATAATGTTATAATCTTATTTGCACCTCTTTTAATCAGCATGTCTTTTTTAGTCAAAACATTAAATATCAGCATGTTAGGCTAGCTTGTAAAACAATTAATGTATTATCTCAGTAACACATTTATACTAATATAAATTTGATTTTAGTATATATATTTATTCCTTGATATAAGAGAGAATAACAATTTTAATTATTCTTGTTCACCATATAATAGTTAATTAATATTTTATTATCAACTTTGTTGTCATATAATGTCATTATTATTTATAAAGTTATAGAAGTTGCACGTCTTCTTTTTCTTTTTATTTTATGTAATGAAAAATATTTAATACATGTTAGTATTATTTATTTATGTAATCAATCTAAGATATGTAAATAAATTTAAAATTAAATAGTGTGTAAATATTTTACAAAATATACACATGTTTTTTAGAATTTAATTTTGTATATTAATTAAAAAACTTTGATTTAAAAAATGTCTAAAACTCATTCCCTTCTATGATCAAGGTTTTTCTAATTCGCATTATAAGGTTTTATAGTTTATTTAGCATACTCTGCAATAAAAATTTATTTTGCAAGAATTTAATTATAGAAATAAATTAAAATAAAAAATAAAAAAAATAATCATGGGTGCCAATAATATACAAATAAATTCTAAAAAATAGTTAATATATTTAAATTTTAATTTTTACCATCAGTAAAATTATTTAATTTATATGGTCATTATCTCTTAAATGGTAAATTATATTAACTAGTATGTGGCCCGTGCGATGCACGGATAAATAATATTAAATAATAATTATACATTGACGATATAGGTAAATCGTTTAGGATTTTGAGTGACACTTTGAGATTTTTTTAGATTTGGTACTTTTAAGATGGTCAAATTCTAGAGGAATACTATAAAATCTTAAGTGTGAATGTGAGATTAGGAGTGAAATTTTGTATAATATTTTTTTTTTTCTTTTAAATCATAACTAATCTTAAAAAGACCTAATAAATCTTGTTCTCAAATAAGTTAAATGTTTAAGGATATATTAAGATTTTTTTTTAATTTTTAAATATCAAACATGTACCACTTTTGTTACTAAAAAATGTGGACACAATTTTGAATGTATATCCCGTCCAAATATTAGTTTTATTCTAAAATAAAAATTGCACGTGTTTTTATCCAATTTACACACTTTTTTTTTGAAAGAAAAAATTATTCAATAAGATTGGAAGAATCATTTAAGAATTATACAACTATTTGTTTTTAAAATTTATATCCAATTTGTACGGTCTTTAAGTTAATTTGTATTTAAAATTGTTTTCATAAATAATTGACACACTTTTTACATAAGAATCTCCAAATTTGTTACCAAAAAATATATGATTTAAATTTTGGTTAAAATATGATACGAAAAAAATGGGATTCAAATTTTGCCATAAGAATCTCCAAATTAGTTACCAAAAAAATAGGATTCAGATTTTGTTACTAAAGATTCACATGTATTTTTTTTAACTTTCCATTAATAGTAAGTCAAACATTATATTTATTTGGTCAAACTTTCTATTAATGTATTTTTTCAACAACCTCTTTATATAGACTAGTAATCACCCGTGCGATGCACGGGAAAATTATTATCTATACGCTTTTTAGAATGCACTTTTGTATATAAATTATGTAATAATGCAATGATCATGATCATAAGAATAGACATATAAACATATAATTAAACTGAAAAGATCATATATTATTGAACACTTCCTTATATACAACATTATTGGTTTGATTCTTTGGCATGTCATCTTCACCACAAATTAAGATTTCAAACATTTTCGATAAGTGACATGTGACAACAACATATAACTGGTCATGACTGAACACTGGTTTCTTAAGAAATAAGCAAACATGAGATAAGGATTGTCCCTGTCTCTTATTTATAGTCATGGCGCAAGAAACCATAATGGGAAATTGCCTCTGTTGGAACTTGAAAGGAATTCTAACATCATAAGGAGTTATGGTCATTCTTAGAATCAACACCTTATCACTAGCATGATCTCCTGTGAGTATCTTACACTCAAGAACATGACTGGATAGCTTTGTCACAACCAATCATGTCCCATTACACAAACCCATAAAATGATCCATGTTCCGCAACAACATGACCAAAGTTCCAATTTTCAAATACAACTCATGGTTCGGTAGTCTGGAACACTTGATGCTATTAAAAAACTCAGGCGTATGGAGTTCAGACAAAAAATCATTATTAGAATCCGATTTGCATGTACTGTCAGAACTCAAGTACATATGACCATCCAACAAATTCAATGATGTCATGTACTCATTGATAGACTCGGCTACATCCAACGTCGGCGCTATAATTCAAACTACAAATCAACTCCCAATTTTTCAAAGAATTTAAAAAAAAGTTATCAATTGTAGTAAAATCTAAAATTTTAGGCGAGAACTTTTTTCCAACTTAAGTAAATCCCTATTGTTATTTTATAGTATTAGATTGAATTTCCAAAAGAACTAAGTCAAAGGTTTTGACTCAAATTTTTTATCAAGTTTCTATAAATGATTTTTTAATCAACCTCTTTCAATATATATGTAGATACAGATATATATATATATATATAGATATATAAGTACATATATAGTACTCCCTCCTTTTTTTAATAAATATTGTTTTGAAAAGTTGCACAGTAATTAATTTTTTTTTTTGTAAATAATAACCCTCATTAATAAGGATAGAGATGGATGTTTTGAGAAAAGGTGAAGAATGAATATGAAAAGATGTAGTGTATTTATTAGTTAGATTGGGGTAATAATGAAAAAATATGTACAAAAGATCCAAAACGTCATTTATTTGGTTAATTGTTAATAAAATCAAAATGGCATTAAAAAAAGGAGGTAGTATCTATTAATATATAAAAAAAAAAGGATTTATTATATATAATAATTTTAAACTTACCAAGAATGTTTAAATTACTTATAACGAAACTTGTTTTATATGGTTTGATATTACATTTACATTGATATATTTTGATCTCCTACAATCATGCTCCCTAAGTAACTAATAAATTAGATACCTTTGGTGTATATATTTCACATGTGACCTTTCAATTCGGAAAGAATCAATTGACATTATCCTCATCCACAATTCAACATCATCCTCCCAGTTTTTTTAATAAGAAATTGATTCGAATATTGCTTTTAAAATCTCATTTTTTTTACTCAAATTGCACGTGCTTTTTAACAAATTTTCCTAAATTAGTAAGTCAAACAAATTAATTAATAAGTCAAGCATTCTATTTAAGTATTTTTCGAACAACCTTTTTATATATATTAAAAAGAATCATTATTTACTCCTGAAAATGAAGCCGATTTTTCTACCAATAAACTGATTTTTTATCAAACAAATTGATCCGAATATATTTTTAAACCAAATAAAAAATCATCAATTTTTCCTAAAAATGCAACCGAATTTTCCTAACACTACACCCATTTTTTTTACCAAACAAATGGAATTAAAATAATTTTAATAAAAAAATGGAACAATTTGTTAATGTTTATGCAACTGTCTCTTTCCTAAAGAAAATGATAT